TTTGGGGAAAGAGTTTCAGAAAGCATGGGCAAAGTGCCTGAATGGTCACCCACTGTTATCAGGTGGAGGGGGCAGTGGACATGAAGCCTGAATTAGCGGAGTGGAGGGAAGGGAATAAGACTGCATGAGATCCCATAAATGCTGTGGGGCAAGGGTGTGAAGGAATATGAATGTTAGAATGAAGAATTAAAAGTGAATCCACTTTTCATCTTAAAATTAAACCCAGATCATTGCAATGATGTTAAAATGAGCTGAACTTTTTAGCAATAACATTGATTCAAAAAATCTTAAAACTTGGGCCTGTATACAGTATATTTCAGATGTACTTAAAATATCAGTCAAATTATAACCACATTTAATAACAACTCCTTAATATTCTATCAACATGATTAATACTGTAGATTGAATGTAGAATATTTTGTATGCACCCATAGCTAACTGTTATTAACTATGACAATTTTCTAAATCAATGAGGCATCAAAATATAGCTTGTGTAAACCTTACAGAGAAAAACTCTACCAACAAGATTACAGGAAACATACTCTCAGTTTAGGCTTATGTTCTATTCGATTTGATACCATAATCACTTCTGGACATTTAACAAATACAGCATATTACACAGATTGCCACAACACTATCTAAAATTGGATTTCATTAAATATTTAATTATTTTTAATGTACAGGTATATTTGGTATACAAAATCAGAAGTTAGATATTGAATTAAAAGACTATTAGTTGACAAGAAAGTCAATTTCTGCATTTTAGATACCAATTTGTGTGAATATTTATTTTGTAATTGACCAAGATTAAATAAGTGCATTGATCCTTAACATTTCATTTTCAAAGTTATTTATTTACATTGTTATTCCTGCACCCAATGTTTCTCAGCATTTTTATTTAGATTTATCAAATCTGAACATTATATAATATATACACTCAAATTTTGTAGCATGATCGGGATACTTGGTACAATAACGGCATTCACCCTTGTGCATCGAATCCCTAGACTACAATAAAGAGGAAAGCAATATTGAAGATATAATGATAAAGGATTAATGTACAGATCCTAACACCATATTGCAAATCAAGATGACATACAGCTGTTTTATGCCATTCAGTCAAGCTCCATAAGATGATTTTCATTTACTTCTCCATCTTTTAAAATGGCTTATCTGAATTTATCTGCTCAAAACCATCTGGTTTGGCATCTTTGGTCTTCTCTAATATACCATAGACCATCATCCCTATTGAATTCCAAAGTACAGTATATTCCAAATCTTACTCGATTGACAGAAATCTTTATTTAAACAGACAATATCATTTCTTTCCTTGGTATCTCCAAATTGTAGTTTGAAGCCATCAAACATCATGTTGCAAACAGTTTTCAGAACAATCCAATTTTACTTTTAATCAATTACTCTATGTTATACTTTTTACAAATGAAATGGTTATTGTTTCAACAATTTCCTAGTTTCCTAGATCCGGTCTGTACATACCAAATGATAATTAAATTAACATTTAAAATATTGTACATTAGCATTATTTACATTATATGCATGTGCCTTTCCTGTAGATTAAAAATGAAACAAATTACTTTATCACACTGAATATTCACACAAAAGTGAGGGATTTCATAAAATATCTGTACTGAAAATAGAAATGGTGGATACAAACTTTTGAAAGATAGAAGACATGATCAGGTTCAGATTCGACCCTCAATTATCCTTCCGCCCCCACATCCGGTCCCTTACCAGCACTGCCTTTTTCCACCTCCGTCGCATCGCCCGTCTCCGCCAATACCTCTTCCCAAAAGCTGCTGAAACTCTGGTCTATGCCTTTGTCACTTCTTGGCTGGACTACTCCAACGCCCTCCTCGCCGGTCTACCACCCACTACCATCCATAAAATCCAACTCATTCAGAACTCTGCCACCCGCATTCTCACCCGCACGAAACTCCTCTCCCTGATAACCCCAGTCCTTGCCTTGCTGTTGTTGATCATCAAGTATTGCCAGTCATCAATTAGCAACCATTTATTTATCTTCTGAGGGCGTTGAGAAATAGAAAAATAGGTTGCTAGTTAATTATGATAAAATCCCAGTTGGGTAAACGTTGTTCATTTTGTAAAAAAAAAGAGTTAAAACATATTTGCACAAATAACTGAGAAATTAGTTACATTTAAATTTAGTTATGATGGAATACTCAGAAGTTGTTGGTTCAAGACCCATATCTGGACTTTGCGCTCAGTTTGTACTAACACTCCATGTTATAATAATAATAATCCTTGCATTTGATATAGCGCTTTTCACGTCGGGAGGACGTCCCAAAGCGCTTCACAGAACACACTGTAAAGTGAATTGACTGTATATTTGTGGGCTAACGCGGCAGCCAATTGCGCACAGCAATGTCCCACAAACAGTCGTAGATTGAAAATGACCAATTTATTATTGTTTTTGGTTTTGGAGGGATTATTATTAGGCTCTGTGTGGAGTAAGGAAACTTGCCCAAGGTTTCGCCCTCTGCCTGGAATTGAACTCAGGTCTCTCGCTTGCAAAGCGAGTGCTCTAACCACTGAGCCACAGGAGCCATGTTTGTTCTGACACTACTATCGAAGTTGCTAACTTTCAGATGTGATGTTAAACTGAGGTTCTATTGACCTCTTCAGGGGGATATTAAAAGATGTCACAGTATGATTCAAAAAGAAAACGGAGAAAATTGCTCATTCACTTTATGGTTGTTTGTGAGACATGCTGTGCACAAATTTGATTCATGCAATTGTATGAATTATTATTATACCTTTTTAAATTCACAAAATCACGGTCAATAAAAAATAATAAATATTGCTTCAGATTTATCGCCTTTCAAGTTGGGAGGGGGTCTCAAAGGGTCTTGCTGGATTTACTGTGAAATGCAATGACTGTGTAGAAAGATCATATTTTTCAAATAGTGCTGTGGGATCTTTAACATCCATCTGAACAGTTAGACTACAGATTCAACAAAACTGTTCCATCCGAAAGAGTAAAGCTTTTTGAATACTTTTTAATAGGACACAACTGTCTTCCACTGATTGCCCAAGAGTAGGCTGATACATATACTTCTGCGCATGTGATGTGGGTTCAGGAAGAGCTTTACGATAGCTGTGTTGGTTTAAAAAATAACCAATTATTTGGACATATGACATATTTGTGTTCCAAATTCTTTCCTGAAACACGATTACAAAACAGATCAATACAAATGTCCCTGTTTTACACATCGAGAGTAATGATTAGTGAAACTTTATGCTTTCATTTAAATGATTCCAGGAGTAGTTGATTTGTAAGTAGGTAACATTTCACATATCGATATAGCATCGATATAGCATATAGATATACATTTAGTTCAAGAAACAAATTGGATGCAACAATTTTCATCACCGTAATATTTCTTTAATTTCTCATTTACTAGATGGTGCAGTAACTTAAATTACATCTATATTTTGGACTATTGCTCGATTATTAACTGAACATGTAGATGTTAGCAAAACGCAAAATACTGCAGATGCTGGAAATCTGAAACAAAAACAGAAGTCGCTGGGAATACTCAGCAGGTCAGGCAGCATCTATGGAGAAAGGAAAATGAGTCAACACTTCGGGTCCACGACCCTTCGTCAGAACTCTGTTGGCTGTTTGTGGGATATTGCTTCGCACAAATTGGTTTCTGCATTTCTGAATTTCTCCTAACAAAATACACAGTTACTGCATTTTACAGTGAATCCTGTGAAGTGCTTTGAGAGGTCCTCCCGATGTCAAAGGCGCTGTATAAAATGTAAGGAATATTAATTTTAATTTCAAGTGAAAGCTGTAAAAAGATACATAATCACATGTCAGATGTATGTTGCATATTATTGCTGTAAAGTCATCGCCATTGTGAGCAAGTTGCCTCATTCATACTGCATGGGAACACAGAGGCTTCTGGCAGTGGACCATAGCAGTAAACTAGAAAGGACTTCTTCAGGATCTTGTTCTGCATTGTTTGTTTGTCCACTAGATTGAAGACCTCAATGATACAGTCCACATTCCATGCCTCATGATTGTTCATATTGATTATCGTCATTTCAGAAGCTTTAGAAAATTATCCAAATGCCTTTGGAAGGTAGATCAATGCAACCCCTATTCTTGCCATTGGCTAGAAGTAGAAATAATGGAAGATTGTTTCAGGACTCTTAGGACTTCGTTCAGCACAAGCACCTTGCAAAGTGCTTGGAGGAATAATAATGGGCAAATTTGCAAGGATGGAAAGACATTTTGGGACGTCCTCCCAACGTGAAAGGCTCTATACAAATGTAATTTTGCTGTTGTTATTTGAAGTCAACTCTACGTGTATAGTGGACAGAAATACAGATTTACCTCCAGACAATAGAAACTTTCAAAAAAATTGTTATTTACCTCAGACAATGGAAACTTTCAAAAAAATTGTTAAAAGACAAATTGCTGACATACAAACTGATCACATTGTGCTATACAAAGTCAGACTTAAAATGCCCTTAACGGTTTCCAATCTGCATAAACTTCACATGCTAAGTTTAGCAACTTTCTCATAGATATCAAATGTACCAAAAGACTATCACAAAAATCAATCAATTATAATCCCAAATTTTGGTTAGACCTTTTATGGATTTTTGATTAGATTGGTTGATTAGATCCACATTGAAACACCCAAGTTAATTGATTGATGAACGAAAGTTCATACAATAAGAATATGCCATATTTTTGCTGAGATGCTGGACATGCTATTGATACCAAATTAATTTATTTAATCAAACAGCACCACAGTGGTATAAATTACACAATTTACATAAAATAATCGGGGATCTGAAATCCTGAGATCAATGTTTTAAGATTCCAAATTAAGAGTTTTGGAATCTTTATGTATGTGACAAAAAAAAAAGCAAAGCTCATTTACCTCTTGGCGAATGTTGTGACACCAACTGCTCTATGTTAACATCGCTGCACTCCTACTAACCTCATCTTTTGACAGTTGTTGGGCAAAAGTAGCATCCGTAAGCTCCTTGTGTAATCTCTGGATCATCTGCTCTTTTATCTCCAACTCAGACTTGATCTCTTCATATTTCATGAAAATCTCACTGGAGCCAGTGTTGCTAGATAAGGGATGCAAAATTAAATGAAGGATAAGAGTCTGAGAAACACAAAAGTACATACCCCCAGTTAAGTGCAATAACACTTGAAAACTATTTTTTCTCTACTGGCTGACTGGCAACTTGTTCCACTCATTGATTACCCTGTCATCACAGTACATCTGAGAACATTATCAGGAAAACACATTAGTAACTGAAAGAAAATTCAAAATCTTTAAAATGGTGGTGTTTCTAGTTAGCCCTTTAGGATGTCTTGCTACACACAAAGTAAAATTAAAATCTATACTTCAAGTGTAAGTTTTGATGCACCTTTTCTTATTTTATTATTGAACTTGAACAAGAAAATGCATTTTCAGTACAGTCAGTTTTAACATTCACTTAAGTTGCATCAGTTGGACCATAACATATATGACTTTTGCAAAGTATGAGTTATGGCAAACATGCATAAGTCTTATCATGTATGACTTATGTAAAGTTACGTATAAGTCGGATTTTACACGACTAACACATACACAAGTACTGTACTGGCTGGTGACGTTAAGGCAAGGTTTCTATACCATGTTTGACCCATGCATATTAAAGCTGTGATATCCCATTCTTTCTAAATACAGTATTGCATGGTGCTTACTGTACCTCATGTGCAGAAAACATGCATTGTACAATAAATGGCGCAACCAAACAGGTTTCAAAAGAGAACTGTTTTAATGGAATATAAACTTAATTTGCATTTAGTTGGGGTATCTACGTGGCCTGCTACCATGCTGACTGGTCAAAACCTTGTTCACTGGTGTGCACTGCGCACGTGGTCCTTCAGTAATGTAGTGGGTAAGTGCGCATGCAGTGACGGGCTGCGACTTCCTGCGATTGTTTCACATGGAGCACCTCGCATGCTACTTCAAAGCCATTAAGCGCACGCGCGATGGCGTCAATGTTAATCTCCAGGGAGGGAGGGCGTGCATGTGTTATGTTCTGTTTGAGGCAAGCGTGGGAAACTACGTTTTGACCTAGTAGCCAGGTAAGTACTCTAGCGGCGTTACGAGTTATGCAGTGATTAATATGAATGTGGCATATAAATTTAAGTGGATTTAATAGGAAATTGAACGGGACTCAGGTGGATGTACTACTTCGGCGATTGTATAATTTATACAAATATGACTTTTACCAATTTTGATGTATATCATTAGGCAAAGGATTTTGTACGTATTTGAAAAAACAGCAAACTTCCAAGATACATTTTTCACATTTACTTTGCCACATAACCTTGTTTACTGTGGATTATATTTCAGAGATTTTATCCTACAAATGGTGTTAAAACATAGATAATTTATATGAAACTCAGATCATTTATTCTTGTGACTAAATTCTGTTGTATCCACAACATACGTGTGCACACATTTTCAAAAAATTGAACAGTGTCGATAAAATGTCAGTGATACTCCAGTATGTAAGTGATAAAATGAAGAAGTTAACCAAAGTTTAAAACAAATTTAGATTAGGTGGAACAGAATACTGATCTAATATTAGTTTTTGAAACATATTTAAAATGTTCATTGTCTTTTAATAAAAAAATCTGCTTTATAAACATGCCACCTTTTTATTTTCAGAATTGCAATCTTCATTTTGTAATATTTTTAGACAGATGCAGGCAGATCTAAATTATGCAGTTAATTTACATATTCTAGTCGTAGGGAAAATGCAAATGAATGCATTTGCATAATGGATTCCTGTCATTGCTTCAGCTCCTTTCTGTGCCTCCTATTCAGCGAGCTTTCGTAAGCCAAAGCAAGTTCTTTAACTGAAAAAAGGATTTTATATCGTACAACGCGCCTGCAATTTTTAAACGAAATTCCTTCAGTAACCATCAGCAATTAACTAAGTAAAGTAGGTATCTATTTTTCCAGCTCTTAGGTTTTTTTTTTCTCCGATCTTAATTGCAGGAAACAACTTTGCTTTAATGAGGTACTTTATTTGAATTAAGCATCTGAGCCAATTAGTCAGCTCTGACCTTGTCTTCCAAAGCAAGAAGGTTACAGAATAGTATTTAAAAAATTTAAAGCCTCTCCCTTTCGCCTCATCTTTTCAAATGTTAGGTAAAGCGGTATGCTGATAATTACTTAATCAAATATGACAGAGGGGACTAATTTACTGATTACAATAAAGCCCGAGGGTGTTATGACAAAAATTTCTCTACAACTTCACTCCAGCTTTTATTTAAATGGGCTTTGATTATTTATAACAAAATATCATTGCAACATATTGTAGCAGATGAGACTGTAAAACGTCGTCTCCCATCAGCTATAGTCCAATAAGCAGCCAATGCTGTTGCTGCTGCTGCGGGCTTTCCTGCGCCAGCACGGCAGTAATGCCAAGCTATTGGTGTGTTTACCCTTTGGGAATGTTAACTGTAATTCTTCAGCTTTTAAAATCAATTAACCCTTATGTTAATTAGTGTCAAGTCTATAGAAAGCCGCCGCAAATGGCAAGAGCTGGCACAGTGCCATCCATTCACTGGCAGCGCCACAGCTCTCTTGATAACAGCGGGTATGTTAGGGCCCGTATGTGCGTCTGTCAGAACTGTTGAGCCAAGGGAGATTATCCAGACCCCTACAGCAAACACGAAGTCATATCTGAAGGCGCAACTGGCAGGATTACCATGCGCTCCACTGTAAATCCTTCCTCAGAGGACATGTTTCAAGTTGAAAACAAGGATGCGTGCACTGTCTGTGTTTAATCATCTTTTGCTTGGCCGTGCAGAAGCGACTGCGGATACTTTTTCCCCTCGAAGACAAAAGCCGCCATGGCATCGACTGCCGTTCCGAAAGATGCCAGGAAATGAAAAAAATAGCAGCGACGACATGGTGCCAGGGGCAATACTGCCAACTGTCAAAGCACGAACCAGTGTTTTGTTCGATGTTGATTTGTTTTCTATTCAAGTTCGTTTACAAAAACAATACCAACAAAAAACAAAGGAACTACTTCGGAGTAACCCTTTCTGTCTGATGCCATGGGGAATGGCAGTGAAGCAGGCATATTATGTCTGCGTGGTACTGCCAGTTGCCAGAGAAGCTGCAAGCAAATGTGCATAATTATGCCTTTCGTGTTTTAAAAAAGGAAATAAAAGCAATTTTGGTGCTCACATAGTCACTGACAGGATACTGAAGATTTACTGTTTAATCTGGAGCGTGTTTTTTAACCATCAATTGACCCAGGTACACAAGGAAAATAAGAATCATACTCTTGCAGCAGGCAGGCAGCCTGAGATTTATCTGCATTCAGTGCTATCACCAGGGAGATGAATGGGCCGATCTGTAGCCTTTTACAAGATCCACTATGGGAATGAAGGAGGAGGGATGCCACAGAGACGTGTACAAACTTGAAGTGAGAAGGTTTGAAGGTGCTACTTGGATAAATCCTGTGGTACATTTTATGGGAAAATGAAATGTTCCCCTCCGGAACGGAAGGGTGGCTTTTACTTACGGTGGAAGTGTTGCCGTGGATCCCGAAAGGTGTTCAGTTGGCATCGCTCGCACTGTGGCAGACGCGAGCTGAAAACAAAAGGAACAAAAAGTACAAAAGGAATTTTTAAAATAATTACGTGTGGATTTTACAAAACAATACAAAACAGCAGTGCGTAATGGATGTACTTCTGCAACTTCCTCAAGTGCCATCACATATATGATAGAAGCTGTACACACTGCAGAGCCAACCTGCTGGTAACGGATTTTAACCTGGCATCTTCTGGGCAATTTTCTAATGAGCTGGATTTACTGTCTTTTAATGTGAGTTCTCCTTTTGGAATATATGCTTGCGAATGTAGACGGTGGAGGTTTTTTTTATTAACAAGGCATTTGTGTTGTTAGAAGAATCTTCGAGCGTTTGACTGGAGTACAATGGCAGCGGCGCCTGTGAAAACCGATGTTCAGGAGAAAAAGCTCTGCAGAGGGATAACGCTAAATGGGTCACGGGCTCTACCAGCTGCTAGATTCCATACGCCGCAATCAAAGTGAATGTTCTAAAATTATTACAGTCAAACAGTCATGTGGTGGCAGTTAACGTCCCCAGTGTTTAATCATCTTACAGTAGAATGGTTTTATGCATATTTCATTTGCATATCATTAAGCTGGTTAAGCATGGAGTATTCAGAGTGGGATGAATACAATGCGAGTCTCATATGATCCATATCAGAGAAGCTGGCCTGCTCAATGGACTGTCTGCGTTTTTTTCCTTTTAATCCCCTGACTTGGTTACATCTCAAACACATTGACTGAAAATCATTGTGGATACCGCTAATTTTACCACAACGGCATGCTTAAAATTACAGAATGATTCGCCAGAATTTAAGTGAAAATTCTGTAAATTCCACTGCTACGGAAAAATTGCTCTACGGGGATTCACTGCTAATAATTCCTTAAGCTCTATGGAGATGGAAACTTTATTTTTTTTAAAAAAAGGATGTCAGAAATGAAGATCAAGTGAAATCGTGGATCATTACCTTGTAATGTTTGTTTGCATAAAAAATAAGCGAGCACGGGTATCAACTATTTCTGAAAAAAATTAGTGTGCGTCTGATTTTGATAGCCACTATGAAACCATTAATGTGATTAATCAATTATTTCAGTCTGAAAGCCTATTATGCGTACACAACAGATACAGTGGGGTCTTTGTCACTTTCATACATGAATAACATAGTAATCGCAAGCCTTTGTGTGTCTTCTCAATGGTTTAATTCATTCCCCCAACATTGCCTAGTTCTGGCAGATAATCAAAATTACTTCCTGGGAAAACTGAAAAGACAATTAAGCATGGAAATCTGTTGCTGATGTACAACGCATGAATTCATTTGGAAATTAGGCCACTTTGTTCCTTCCCTCACTCTCCCTTTTGTTTCCAATATTAATATTCAAATGAGATACCGTGACTCTACTGTACAATTAGCTGGCGGAAAAAAACCACAGACAGTGCTGACTGCGACATTTTGTGCAGTGAACATGCAGATGTCGCTGTTGTTCTTTGCATGGGTATAATGATATGCAATCGAATAGCGGGCACCACTTGGATACAATATTTTACATTTCATTGCCAGACATCTCTGCCTTTTCTTCTAGAGGAATGCCTTCGTAAATGTAGCTCGAGTCAAACGGTGTTGGAATGCTGGAACGCTTGCCATGGAATTATAAGCATAATGACATAAATGTGCATGCAGTCATCTATTATAGTCCTGAATAGTACCAATTCAACTGTCTTTGAATGGATTTATCAATGCGGATAACCTTTTTCCATTACTGCATATTTGATCTACTTTACATACATAACTGAATTACAGAAAAAATCTCCAACGGATTTCACTAATTTACCCAACGGATATAATCTCTCAGTCACTGATGACTTTAACACTGTTGGTATTCAGGGCACCACTTTCACTGCTGTTGGTAAGAAGGTACTTATTTATATGCATGCACTGACTTTGCGTCTTTGTGGACTGTCAAATTCTGTGCAAATGAAAAGTTAACACTTGAAACCTTAATGACATCTATATTCTATAGCTTTGAATAATATTTGGAATGCTTCTTATTAATGCACAAAAGACCTGCATATTTAATTAATGTTTTTCCAACAGTAGCAGTCTAAATGTATTTGGTATTCTATGGCATTTTGTACTGTTAGAAACAGCTTCTATTTATATTTTTATGCAGGAGTATGATATTGGCTATTAATAATTCTGAGTGTTATTGCATTTAGGATGGAATAAATAGAAGAGGTTGTACTTTTTGTGAAGTAAGTTTTTAAGCAGGATTAATGTCCTAAGCATTCCTCCTCGTATAATGAGTGAATATTTGAAACAATATTACTTCAGGTAATGTTTGAAAGATGCAAAATGTTGTATAATCCAAGTGAAGCTTAAAAAGATATGCTTTACAACCAATCTATATACTATAAGCTTAGTAGGGGATTTATGTATAAAAACTAAAACAAGTGTCCAGAAGAAGAATACTATTCTCAACATCTTATGAACTTTTGGATTAAAAAAAGTTGTCAAAGAGTTATTTTTCATCAATAGATATGAAATATATAAGTCTATCAATCATAAATGTTCAATATATATCAACAATTTGCATTTGTACAGTGCATTCCACGTAACGGAATAGCTTCACAAAAATAGTAGTGGGCAACTAGCAGGGACATAAAAAACATAATGATATTGATAAAATGTGCAGTCAAAGAGATTGATTTTTGTATACATTTAAAGGCTGGCAGAGATATAACAAGGGAAAGTGATTCTGCAAAAAAAGTTCCACATGACAGGAGCATGGTGGCTGAAGAATCAGTCAGTGATGATGGAGCTGTAGGAGTAGTTAATGAGCAAATATCAGAGTGAAGAGCGGAAGAGTGAAGAGCAAGGCCTGACGAAAGGCTAGAGAATATTGCTTGTGTAGCATGTCCCATGAACTCTGGAACAATCTGATGATCATCAGGTTGCCTAGCTTAAACGCAATCCTCTGATGTACTAGGAGTCAACGGAGCTTGCAGAGAATTGGAGTAATTGGTGTGCAGCGCCTAATGTTCTGGATCAGTTGAAGCTTCTAAAGAATGGAGTCTGCTAAACATGTCGACGGCATGGATAAGGCTTTCGGCAGCTGTGAAGGTGAGGTAACAGTTTAAGCAGATAATGTTCTGGAGGTGAAAAAGCCACCTTGGTGATGGACCAGATAGTTGGTTTGAAACGTGGCTCACGATCAAGCAAAATGTCAAAGTTGCACACTGTCCATCTTAACTTTAGTAAAGAAAGTAGCCTGGGAAGTTGATGGAATCAGAACCAGACGCAGTCAGTCACAATAACAGGAACCCTGAAAACAAGGGTCGTAGCAAAAAGATAGAGGTCTTTATCATCATCACACATATGAAAGCCTAACCCCATGTAGATTTGAAAAAAAGAGAACCAACAATAGAGACTTGGAGTATACTCTAGGTGACTGTGGGAAAATGTTTTGATTTCTTTAATTTGAATGATCAGATAGTAAATATTTTCATAATTATTAAAATAACAAGCAATTGAAAATATAGCTGATACTCAACCCTTATCCCACGTGATTTAAAAGGGAATCAAAATATTATGTTTAGGAAGTCAGAGAATTGTGAAAGGCAAGTTCAAGTTATTATTGGTAGAAACAAACAATACCAAATTACGCTTTCTCAATACATTTACTGTATTTTGCCCCATACTGCATAGGAGCTGTCAAATGGAATATCACTAGGATTACACAAAATCTTACTACATAAATAGTTTTTTTAAGACATTTGGGGCATTCAAGCATCTAGAATTTATGCTGTATTCTCAGTAAATTTTCCATTGAACTTTTCTTGGAGCACAAGATTTTGAAACGTAAAGTTTCATCCCATAAAATACTTTTCATTTGTTCCAGCTTGGTAGAAATAATAGCAGTTATTCAAGGTGTTATATAAAATGGAATTTATTGGAGGCTATGAAAGCAAAATAAAGTTCTGAACCTTGTCAAACGAAAGTACCAAATGAACAATTAACTGCCAAGGTTTAGTAAATAGAAATCAATACCATTTTTTGAAAAGTGCCGAGAGTAGCTCTTCTGTTGTTGAGTTTTTCTGGATCAAATTCTGGCAACATCATTAGTGCCACCGCCCCCCACACAACCCGGGAGACATTTGTGCCAGTAATGACTTTCTCTCAAAGGTTTCTGGCTACAAGATTTCCAGATCATAAACTGACAGGAGATGTCCCAACTGCAAAAAACTGGCTAACATTTTGCAAAGAAAACAGTAAACTGCCTTGGGACGTCCTTCTGACGTGAAAGGCGCTATATAAATGTAACTTTGCTGTTGTTGTAAAGTTCTGACAAATGCACACCCATCAATAAAACATACAAGAAACTCAAACTCCGGTGCACAAGTCTCACCAAAATATATGTTTTTATGATGCCACAGGCATGGAGTATGCATCAGTGTGATTGAGATTTTACTAGACAGCATTAAAGTGATAAATAAGACTTCACATAGTGTAATATACTGAATTACATAGCACTCCCCAGTGTCTCGATCAAGATGGAACAAACTCTTACAAATTCTACAATTGTTGTAATTTATTCATGTACAGTTTTGTATTTATACAACAGACCTCACAGAGTTTTAGATCTGGTCAGCATTTTGCTGTTTTTCTCTTTCCCTACTGCTTTGCCTTCCATTATTCACTGACTACAGAGACAACTTGTCCAAATGCAACATTAGAAAAGTACGATATTCGTCAGTATTTGGTGTGTTCTGTATGCCTGCGGTTCACATGAGACTGCTGAACCTGTGGAAAACTAGACTTATTTGTGTTGAAAACCCATGACTACTGGTTAGGGTCTGAATCCCAAATTCATACTAACAAATGGCAAATTTGTGAGGTTTCGTGGAAAGCAATGGATACATAAAAGATGAATGGTATATAAAACAGTAATTTAAACAGCAAACCTGTTGTGGTCTGCTTTGCTGATTGGTTGATCTAAAGTTGCAAATGTCCATCTTTAAGTTC